ATGTGCAGGATTTAGGGAGCTGCCATCTTTGAGGTCTGGTGCTCCAGCTCCCTCTAGCTACTGTCTCGGAAGTCCCCATCATGGACTTCCTCATGGGGGGTTCCCCACGCCCAGCAGCTCTGGGCGTGGGGAACTAAGGAGGCATGATGATCATGGTGTGTGTCACTAGGGAGAACACATCTTGATCATCATGCCTCCAGCTCCCATGCCCTCATTGCTTGCTGGGCTATATTTTGGTTATACCCTAATTTTGTGTGCCTGGATATGCCGAAAGTAACTTCACCAGTTGTCAAAAATATAGTTGAGGGGTGTTTTGAAATATGAGATTTACTGGAATTGGCAGAAGGCCAATAATCCAGAAGGAATCTTGTGGGACAAGGAATGACCTCAAGTTCCCACAATATTCCTCCCAAACGTCCTCTAAATTTGTCATGCTAAAAAGACCTTGTGATCCAAGGATATCCCTTGTTAAATCCAAAGAATTGTTTGCAGGAAAAACAGTATATAAGCAATGAGATTTTTTACCCAATACACAGTCCAGTTCAGACCTCGCGATTGTCCAACAAATCTTTGTTTTTTTTTGCGGAAACCCTTCGACCTATCCAATATTCATACTTGTTGAAATCTAACTGTGTTGTGTCTACCTGAAAATATACCATTTCATACTAGGATGCTGGTCCTGGCCACAGCCTGGCTGATTATCTTGTTTTATTCATAATTTCTGTGCTTAATCTTTACTCTATCTGATTTTGAATTGATTCGCCTCTTCTTCAATCAGAAGGAAAAGCATTTCTTTCCTTGTCTGAAAGTAGTTTAAATTTCTCTTTCTGACAAAAATGGTAGCAGAGCATGGTTTGTAAAAATCTCAACATGTTAAGTTTTTTATCTCAGCGCTGAGTGTTGAAGTTTTCAGTGTATTCATATTCAAAGTGTAAGATTCTCAAATTTTGTGTTTTTTGAATTCATTGGTGTGTGTATATTCAAAGTGTAAAATATTCAATTCTTGTGTGTGTTGGATTCATTGGTGTATTTATATTCAAAGTGTAAAATATTCAATTCTGGTGTGTGTTGGATTCATTGGTGTATTTATATCCAAAGTGTAAAATATTCAATTCTTGTGTGTATTGAATTCATTGGTGTATTTATATCCGAAGTGTAAAATATTCTATTCTTGTGTGTATTGAATTCATTGGTGTACTTATATCCAAGGTGTAAAATATTCAATTCTGGTGTGTATTAAATTTATTGGCGTAACTGTACTTACTCAAACTTTGAGCGTTCCTATTCTCAGAGTGTAAAAGAAATTTGGAAGATCTTTTAATTTCTCCTGTGTACTGAACGTCATGGATTTAATTATTCAAGTTCAGTCCAGCAGGTTCACATATCGCAAGACAGAAACAAAATCTGATATTGAAACTTTGAAGAAATCAGTGGCAACACACAACTGAAGATATCCGAGACAATGAAACAAACTTGTAGACACGCCTGAAATCTTGGCTGATGGTGGCACTCACTTGGTATACTCAGGAGTCAGGAATCAACATGGTCATCCAAATTCACTGGAAAAGACAAGAAAATGGAGTTAGGAGATATTGTACATTGAAGTACAGTACCAATGTTCCCCAAAACGGTGGTCTGCGGAAATTTTCTACCATACTACCAAAAATATTTATCAAGCTGATCACAGGATGGTATACTCTACAAGTAATACAACTATACAGTGAAACAATGACAGTTGAAAATGAAGCAATGCTTACTCACCCAGCATGCTACTTTCTTAACCACTGCCTGCTGGATGAGATGAGGAATTATCTCCACTTGGATTCTTACTCTTCATGCCAATATCAATAACATAAATAACCGCTCCGAGATTCTTGTAGAGCACCAGAGTTTAAAGCAGCAGCGGATTTTTCAGGCGGTATTGGTGTTGCCGGAGCCTGTCCTAGTTCCCTGCTGGTATGAGACTTCTTGATGCGGGTTTCCAAAGAAAAAGAGGAGGCAAAAACAGGGGAGTCAGGAACTGTGGGAGGTCGGGAACCAACTTGAGAAGATTCCGATGGTCTGTCCTGCCGATGAATGAAGCCCAGCTGGCGTTTTATCCGAGCTTTTTTTCACAAGCTCCACCCTTTGCTTTTTCAGCCTTGTTTCAAGGATACAAATTTCTGGATCCAATTTGTTCTTGGACTCGGCTGTGGTAGACTTCCGTTTGCGGGTTATAATTACCGCAGATTTCTTCTTGTTTGATGCAACTGCGGCAGATTTGGGTGTTGCACCCAATTTTGCAGATTTCTTTAAAAATGTAAAGCCTGATGCTGGGGTACTAAAGTTGACAATTTTGTCCCACTGCCCACATCATAACAACTAGCCATCTTTGATTTTGCAGCAGCAACTCCAACTTCATCCTCACAAACAGACCACTCTTCCAATGCACGGGGGCCAGAAGGAAAACCAAGGCACTTGGAGAACATCTTGCCCGGTTTTTCCACACGAGTTTCAACAATGTCCATCATGTTTCCATCCCTGACCGGGGTACAGGTCTTGATGAATGGATTTCTGCTGCGCAGTTTACCTTGGGGAAGGCCCACTTCGTATTGTGTTCACAGATGTCCCATTTGTTTGCAGTTGCTTTGGTTCCGCCGATGGGATGTCTTTGTCCCTAGGAAACACTCAAGTAGACAAATCACTGACGTCTTTGCTGGGGCATCCTACCCTAGACTTGGACATTGCACTCAGTTCTTCCAGATTTTCTCCTTTCCCACCAACATGGTCCAGCTTCTTGGCGGGTGGAACTTTAACAAATATATAATGAGAATGACGCATTGTAGCAGCTTATTGTGCTGTGTGTTCATAGTCTTTTATTGGATTGGATTGAATTATGACTGACAAAAGTAACACTAAACAATTTAAAAATCCATAGAAACATCCACACATGAGAAAGATACACACCACCATAAAATTATTTCATAATTTCACAAGACTGTTATCTAGTAGTAGAGCGTCCGCAGTGAAATATTTTCAAATCTTTTCAGAACCACGGCATTTCACATACCGCATAGTTTAGTACTGTACTGCTGGTATAATACCAGCGGTACACAACCCCTTCAGGTATTTTTGGGTGGTGTGCCGCTGGTATTATACCAGTGGTACATAACCCCTTTAAAATACCGCAGAGTTGTGTACTGCTTGTATAATACCAGTGGTACACAACCCCGCTGCAGGGTTGTGTACCGCACAGCGTATTTTCACTCTGATTGCCCGCAGTATCATTACCGCGGCCCATCACAGCTTTGCAGAGCGGATCCGGGAGTCCGGATCCGCGCTGCGGTATTATAAAATACGGCACAACGTATTTTTACTGTGATTGGCCGTGGTATCATCACCACAGGCAATCAGAGTGACAATACGCTGTGAATATACAACCCTGCAGTATTATACCAGGGTTGTGTACTTCTGCTAAAATACTGTGGGGTTGTGTACCACTGGTATTATACCAGTGGTACACAACTCTGTGGTATTTTTCCTGACTGCTGCCGAAAAAAAAATTCCTGACTGCTGCTGGACTCAAACCAGGAACTGTTGCACCATGAACTATGCCTCAACTGGATAGGCTGCTGTGCACTTGACATTGGACCTAGAGGACGTGGGGTCATATAACTTTTTTTTCAACACCTAGGCCACAGACACACGTTACACGACCTCCACTAGTAGTAGAGCGTCCGCAGTGAAATCTTTTCAGAACCACAGTATTTCAAATACAACATAGTTTAGTATCATTACTGCGGCCAATCACAGCTTTGCAGAGCAGACCTGGGAGTCTAGATCCACGCTGCAGTATTATAAAATATGGCACAGCGTATTTTTACTGTGATTGGCCACGGTATCATCACCACAGGCAATCAGAGTGAAAATACGCTGTGCAGTGCACAACCCTGCAGTATTATACAAGGGTTGTGTACTGCCGCTAAAATACTGTGGGGTTGTGTACCACTGGTATTATACCAGTGGTACACAACTCCATGATATTTTTCCTGACTGCTGCTGGACTTGAACGGGGAACTGTTGCACCATGAACTATGCCTCAACTGGATAGGCTGCCGTGCACTTGACATAGGACCTAGATGATGTGGGGTCATATAACTTTTTTTTTTCAACACCTAGACCACAGACACACATTACACAACCTCCACTAGTAGTAGAGCGTCTGCAGTGAAATCTTTTCAGAACCATGGTATTTCAAATACCACGTAGTTTAGTACTGTACTGCTGGTATAATACCAGCAGTACACAACCCCTTCAGGTATTTTTCGGGGTGGTGTACCGCTGGTATTATACCAGTGGTACATAACCCCTTTAAAATACTGTGGAGTTGTGTACCGCTGGTATAATACCAGTGGTACACAACCCCACTGTATTGTAGCAGCAGTACACAACCCTGGTATAATACCACAGGGTTGTGTACCGCACAGCGTATTTTTACTGTGATTGGCTGTGGTATCATTACTGTGGCCACTCACAGCTTTGCAGAGCGGATCTGGGAGTCAGGATCCGCACTGCGGTATCATAAAATACCGCACAGCATATTTTCACTGTGATTGGCTGTGGTATCATAACCAAGGCCAATCACAGCTTTGCAGTGTGGATCCAGGAGTCCAGATCCACGCTGCGGTATTTTAAAATACCTAAGTTTTGTGATTGGTCCTGGAATATTACCACAGCATATTATCCTACAGAACTTTATAGAATCAAAAACACTGTGTCAACATTCACTGGCAACATTCAGATGATCGAGATTATTTGAAAATTGAAAGTTTTTTTGTGTGTTGCTGAGAAAAAGGCACTGCTGATCTCGACAAACCCAGAGGAAAACTGATTTGCAAATTGCCCTGCTGAAGCCTCAACACTTGAAGGATGGTAGTACAATAATTCTCTAATCACTACTTGTATGCTGAGAAAATTCCTGACTGCTGCCGGACTCAAACTGCGAACTGTTGCACCATAAACTATGCCTCAACTGGATAGGCTGCCGTGCACTTGACGTTGGACCTAGATGACTTGGGGTCATATAAATTTTTTTTTCAACACCTAGGCCACAGACACATGTTACACAATGTCCACTAGTAGTAGAGCATCTGCACTGCGGACGCTCTACTACTAATTGCACCCTAATTGAACTTGGGAATTCAAATTTGTATATATTATATTTGAAGAAAAGAATTGCTGTATGACATTACAGACATAACATTGCACTGTTTTTCCATGTTAGTGCCCCAATGTAGCAAAATATACATACATACATTCATGCATAACATACATTTGAAATAATCATTACATACTGAGTGAAATTTGGAATTTTATTGGCTGGAAGAACTTAAAAATTGATTTTTTTATTTTCCTGAATTGAAAAATTTTGTGCAGCTGTATTTGCAATGACATGGGGTTTTCAATTTGATCAGATAAAAATTGAGGTCTAAAAAGGAATTTTTCCCATTTTTCACTCAATTTTTTGAAAAAGGTCCGCATTTTTTTATATCTGTCAATTTTGGGAATTTATCAAAGTTGGACATGGGGAAATGTGCAGAACTTCATTGCGCATCCACCCTATAAAAAAGGTAGAGTTTTGTTGAGCAGAAATCATATGGTGAATTTTCATATTGAGAAGGTTGGAAAACAAAAAATTTTTGGACTTTCAAGTTTAACTCATAATATTTTTGGAGCAATTTCAATTTTAAAATTTTACTTGGATGCACAATGCATTTCTACAAATTTGGAATTTTTTTGGCTGGAGGAAGTTCAAATCAAAATAGGAAACGTTTTCTAAAAAAAAATGTGCCAAGGGGTGGGATTGAACTGGGTACCTCCGCAACCGTTTCACGGCACCCTAATTTTTTTCCATACCAAGGAAAACCTGCTAAAAGTTGGTGACACAGACACATGTTACACAACGTCCTAATTAAAGTTCCCCCAGACCCCCATAGGATCCTCAGTTAACACTGCAGAAAATTAAGTATACTTTGATTACAAGAAACTATGCCCAGAGGGCGAGGTTGTCCTTCTCTTAGAGAAAAAGGGGAATGCGGAAGAAATCCCATTAAGAAATCTTCATCTGTTATGAACAATATTCTTCCTACCACTCCAATTCAAAGATCCATTGCTAGATCACAGTCTAGTCAAACTTCTGTTGGGATGGCTCCTCTATTGTCTCCTCTAACTTCTTCAACTTCAAAACTGTATTTAAGCATTCAATCAGTAAGGAAAGGATATAGCGCCTACAAAGAACCAGACAAAGAAATTTGAAAACTCCTGTTTGAAGAAATACTTTCCAATTTTCTCAATTTTTCGGAATCTTATGACTCTCTGCAATTGGAACCTATTGACGACCAAGTCATGACTGAACTGACTTGACTTAGAAAAGAAGTTGGTATTCTGGCCACTCATACACCAGACTGTCTCAGCGTTGAATGGATGTCGTTAAGACCTTCCCAAAAATCCGTGAAATTTGTAGTTTCCTCCTCCTTTTTTACAAAACATTAACAATCCTGAAATCAAAAAGAGAATGTTGTAACACAAACGGAATCAAGATTTGATGAAAATCTTCCACAACTGATTTCTGTAAGTGGAGATAGCTCCACAACAATTCCTCAAGGAATGGAAATATCCGAAAATGTCATCTCACAAAATACAACTTTGAGAACGCAAAGAAACAATATTGACCTGGTAGAAGTTTCTTTCCCAAAAAAATAAAGAAGATTCCAAATTTGCTTGCTTCAGACAAACCTTATATTGAGAGAAAAATTAAGATGTATGGCAAAGGCAAATCTGTTACTCATGATGCCAGAACTTTCATCCAGACCTATAGATAGAAAGAAATGAAAAACTTTCAAAAATTTAAAATCGAATTTACACTGGATAACGATTTTGATCGTGTTTGGGCCACCTTTTGGCCGATCCATCAGGCCCCAGAAGAAGAATTTACTCCTACTCAAAGAATTTCTCTTCTACTTCTCCACTTTGAGGAAGATGTTCTGTCCGAAGTTAAGGGTTTGGAAAGAAAAGAAATGGAGGAGGACTACCTCTACTTGGTTCGAGTTCTATTTTCAAAATTTGGAGATGTAAATCAGATAGCCCTTGAGATCTACAACACCATTGAAACTCTTTCTCCCACTAATGAAACTAAAGCAGCAGCAGCAGAATACATTTGTGAAATATCCAAACTTGTGGCCAAACTCACTGTCTTAAAACAAGATATTTTTTATGTACGTCAAGGAAAATCTCAATATAAGCTTTCTATACGACATTCTGCAAAATTCCATAACTCCAGAATTGCAAGAATATTGGAGCAAAAATCCAGAAAGGATTTATAGATGGTTCTGGGAAAAACTTAACAACGGAACAAAGAAATTAAATGAACAAAAATTCAGTATTTACAAATCAAGTTTGAATACCTCTGCTAAAGAAAATACTCCCATACTGCCTACTCCTCCTGCTGAGACTACTCTAGTGACAAGTAATGTTAAGATAGAAAGTTCCTCCAGCAGTACTCCCGCAATGGCAGTTGCAAAACCTCAGATTGAGACAGAAAATTCCTCTGAAACTGCTGTAAATTAAAATGGATTTCAAAACCAAAATAATGGAGGATTCCAGAATCACAACAATGGGGGTTTCAAAACCAAAACAATGGAGGATACCGAAATCAAAATAATGGAGGATATCAAAATCAAAATTGAGGTATTCTCGATCAGAACTATCAACAGAGACCACAGTTTCAGAACTTTCAGCAAAGAACGGGTTGTCCATTCTGCACCAGTCCTCATCCTTCAACACAATGTAATAAAACTTTAAGTGAAAGAGAAAAGGCAGTTACAACTCATTCCCTTTGCTGGAACTGTCTTCAAACTGGGCAAGGAACCAAAACCTGTAGAAGCAAATATAAGTGCTATACCTGCGGGAAACCTCACCACACTGCTGTTTGTAGAAAAAATTCTCCAAGACCTCAAGGTCAACAAAATTTTGTAGAACCAGTGAAAGAATCAGTATCTTCTCAAATCAGTCCTGAAATCTTAGAAATGTTTAAAAAATTAGAAAATAAAATCAAATCAAATCAATCTCCTCAACAACAACCTCAGGCTCCACAGCCTCCAGTTACCTCTAAAACTGAAAATACTGCATGACTAGAACAACGGAGCATTCAGGTAAATCTCCTGAAAGAAGGTTCATTTCCAAGTTCCTTTCTGGAGACTGTTAACTTGTTTGATATCAACTCTCAAGAAGCTCCCTATGGAGTACTAGATTCTGGGGCCCAAACTTCCTTAATTACTGAAGAGGCTGCACAAAGACTCAGCCTATCCATTAAAAAACACAAAATTGAATTTAAAATTTCAGGAGTCAACAAGAAAAATCAGGCTCTAACTACAAGATCATACGTCATACTTGATTTAATGAGTGAAAATTATCCTACAGAAAAAATTAAGATTGAGGCTCTTGTAATCCCATCAACAAAACCTTGGGAGGGGAACAATCCCCAGAAACTACCTTGGATGAACGAATTCAAAAATTTATTAGGAGATCCTTGAATTGTAAATTCCACCAAGGTACCTTTTGATATGGTTATTGGAGGTAGAGATTTAATACCTATTTTTAACAAAGGAAGTAAACCCTTATTGACCACTAACAAGTTTCAACTGATGACATCAAAAGTTGGTTTGATTCCTATAGGAATCTTTACAGGAGATAAGAGCTTGATTCTCCCTCAAAGAAAACAGTTGAATTTCTCTGTTAGAGTTAATGAAAACAATGAACTAGACTATGAACTGAACAATGAGATTACTAAGTCTCTACATTTCGACAGGGTTAACATATTGGGCGAAAACAAAGAGGAAAAGAAAACAGATGAGGAAGAATTGCAAGAGTATAAAACTTAGTAGAGCTCCCAATGGAAGAGTTGTCGCTCCTCTTCCAAAAACCAATACCTTTTACGATAAATGGTGTCCCAATACTATAATGGGAGAACAAAGAATTGGTTCCGTTATCAGAATTTTAGAAAAGGGAGGAATTCTTGCAGATGAGTACCACAAATATATTTGAGAATGGGAAGAATCTGGGGTGATTACCCCTACTTCACTGGATGAAATCATTGAAAGAGGTCCCCCTCACACCAAACTGCCCCATCACGGGGTTGAACGTCCTCCAAGCTCTAGTACTCCCTTGCAAGTAGTCATTGCAGGCAACTCATCTGATAGGGGTAGATGCTCTCTTAACAATATTCTAGATCAAGACCCTAACATTTTATCCAAATTAACCCACATTCTGATGAACCTGAGATTTTCTGAGTCTTTTTCAGTATCTGATATCTCAAAGGCATTTGTTCAAAGGATTTATTCAATCCAAAACGTGAATTTTAATCATTTTCTCATTTAAAAAATATGTAGTCCACTCCAGGCACACAAAAACCAAGAATAAACCTAAAAAAACTGAAAGGATCTCATGAATCTGAAGCTATGAAATTGTGTGAATTTAATTGAAATGGATAATGCTGGAAATTTCAAGCTCTGGATTTTTTGAAGTGTACAAACTTGTGGGGCAATAGAAATGGCAGCACAAATTTGATCCATTATATCTCCATTAGAATTTTAGCTTTGATTGGCATATTAAAAATTTTAGCTCAAAACTCTCTGAAATTAATCTTTTTCAAAAAATTGTATCATAAAATAGTCTTCTTCTGTAAGTGCTTTTTTTCGAAGAGGAATTCTGATTTTCACACATTTTCTATAACAGACATATTCTTGAGCAGAGTCCCACTAAGAGAAAGCTGTCTTAGGAGCTATCCATCTTCTTTCAAGAATTTCAACACAAATGGATGAATTACAAACTCACACCAGCTTCCACCAAGCTGTATTCAAGTTCTCCTTTGTGATGATCCCTTGGAAAACTCTCCACCTGTACAGGTCAATCACATAGCTGAAGGGCAGGAATGCAAATCTTTCCAATAATTACAAACTCACACCAGCTTCCACCAAGCTGTATTCAAGTTCTCCTTTGTGATGATCCCTTGGAAAACTCTCCACCTGTACAGGTCAATCACATAGCTGAAGGGCAGGAATGCATATCTTTCCAAAGCTGTTTTCAGCAAGAAGGCAAGTTGAGATTTTTTGTTGATCACATGCCTTGCATCCATCAAACCAACTGCTTTCAGATGCCTAGGTGTGATGACAGACAAAGCAATGGCATCTCCAATTGCTTCATGGAAACCTTGATTGGACACAATTGGAGCCAGATCATTATAGAGTTCATAAAGAATTTTCATAAATATGCAGACAGTAAAAAATAATGTACCTGGATTTGCACCATCCCTAAACAGAGGTGATTGTTTCACATACTGCATGTAATACTGAACATGTCCCATTTCATGGTGAATTGTGATAAAATCGTCAAAGTTCACTGATGTGCACTGCTTGATTCTGCAAATGGTATCCACAAAATGATTAACCGTCTTTTCTGAAATATATTTGGTTGAAGGGTACCTGAAATCCCCTGGTAACTTATTTGTTGCCATCATGTCAAAAGCGAAAGCATGGCAAAGAACTTCTCGCCCATCCCCTGGCTTCTCCAACATGGAATTTTCATAAAAGTTTGGTGATCCTTCTTGCAGTCCAACTAGTCCCAAACTCACCAGGAAGTTATCAGCTTACTGAAACATCTGCCTCACAGAATAATTCCCCTGGAGACAAGAAGAATTATCAGAGAAAGAAAAACAACCATCCTTTAAAATCCTTCAGATTTGACCAATTTTCCCGGCATATCCACAGCCCACTTGATAGGACCAATAGGGCTGAAAGGATCAGCGACCCATTATTGGGACTTCAACTTGAACAAAATCCAAACCACTAAAATGATACATTTTCAGGTTGCTTGATGGGACCAAAATACTGCACAAAACGGTCACTGCTCAGTGGTGATTTGGCACTGTAAAATTTTTGATTAATAAGAAAAAGGAAAAAATTGACTAATGTAATCTGTACTTTGGGTCAGTTTCATGTTCTTATGCATTTCAATGTGTTTTACTGGCTTTTTAATCACCTCCATGTCAATCAGGTTTGTGTGAATATCTTTTTCATGAAATGTAAAATTGATCATTGTAACATCTTGATCTAAATTTAGTACAGTGGGCCCCCATCTTACGTCATGAATCCGTTCCAGGATGGACATCATAACATGGGGCTGTCATAAGTTGAAACCCTATTTCCTTTAAGGGTACATTATAAAAAAATTAATTTGTTCCAGAAAAAAAATATTAAACTCAAATTACCTTTATATTTATACTTTCTGTCAGAAATTGCATTAATAGACACAAGAAATGTTTGAAAGACTGTATAAAACAAAAGTGATAGGGGTAGGGTAGTGAAACAAAGTAGGAGGAGAATTATTTTTGCAATTTTGAGCACTTTCTGCATCTTTTTTTCTCATCTTCTGAGTTTTAAAATTGTAAGAATGGATAATCTGGATTTCTGGCAAATTATTAAATTCCTCCTAAACAAAATTATTCAGCTATAATGAAATGCACAGGGCAGTACAGAACACACAAAATTCAAAATCCCTCCTAAAAACAATTATTCAGCAATAATGAAATGAACAGTACAGCACACACAAAATTAAAAAAATGCTCCAAACACAGCAATTTCCGAACTTATGGACGATTTATTTCCTGTGCATGGCACCATCTCACACTGTTAACTGTTTAATCTTGCTAGGAATGAACCTTGGCACAAAAAAACTCACTTCCTCCCAGGAAAACTGTTGGTGCCTGCATGGCACCAAAAAAAAACGGTTGGTGGGAGGGAGCTGAAGAACCTCAGAAGCTGTGGTATCATGACATCCTGACATGAGTAGGGGGTTTTTTAAATAAAAAAAAAAGCGTCATAACTTGAAACGGACGTAACATGGGCCCGTCGTAAGTCGGGGGCCCACTGTACAGTACAGTATCACAAAAATAGGTTTCCCTTCACAAATATAATTACTTCAACAAATGAAATTACAAGATTCCTTGCCAAGTAAGAGCAAAGTAAGGCAAGCACAGACAAACTACTGAAAATCTAAAATAATTGTGCGTCAACCATCTAGTAAAAATTGACTCAATTGGAAATTAGGTTTTGATGAACTGAATCAAGTTTCGTTTCAAAAATGATATAATTTCAATTTCACTCACGTTGATCAAACTCTCTGTGATGTTGTATCCAACTGCTTCGCCGAATTCAGAAACAATGGGATAAACGTGTTGCCATTCCTGCGCCCACATTTTCGTTTCAAAAATGATATAATTTCAATTTCACTCACGTTGATCAAACTCTCTGTGATGTTGCATCCAACTGCTTCGCCGAATTCAGAAACAATAGGATAAACGTGTTGCCATTCCTGCGCCCACATCTTCCCTTTTTTTTTGGAATCAACGAACACGGATCATCAGCTTGAAGTTCAAATAATTTTTAATTCAGGCGGTACTGTTACTGTTTATAGATTCCACCATAAAAAAAAAAAACTCCAGACTTGAATTTCTCAATAGACATGGAGATTCACTTTAAGGTAAGGATTTAGTATGTCTCATATGAGAATTGGTCACGCATTGACTCCAGCTTATAACGTTCTCGTACTGTATGAAAGAAGTTACATAGAGAATATTACCACAAAGAGCCAAATACTGCCTTGGAACATATTAGGGCATTAGTTATTCACGTGAACAATAAATAGAGTACTTGTGAATTGATATCAACTTTTCATGGAGTGCAGACAAGGTATACAAGCAGTGTAGCCAAAAAAGTAGGCAAAAATTAACTTATTTTGAAAATTCATTTCTGGAAAATATACTTTCCACTACAATGTCACTACAAACTGCACAAAAAAGTTGAGGAATTGTCTTGGAAACTTGGAGATTTATGTTTTACATGGAGGAACTTTCACAAAAATGAACTCAACCTGGAATGGATTTGTTTCCTTCTGCAAAGATCCATTTCCCAATCAGAATTAATCATTTCCAAGAATGCATAACAATATTTCAATCGTTGCTTGAAGGTATTCCAAATAAATAATTGAGGTTCATTAATTAATGCTGAATCCTGTGAATTCCTTTTAAATAAGCTAGTTCAGTTCCATGCGCTGGTTTAATCTCAAGTTAAGAAAACAGGAATCCACACGCAAACCCCTTACTTCAATGACAATTATATTCTGTGGTCAAAGTACCCCTTCTCCACGTTACTCACCCTTTGAGCTTTCAGTTCCATGCGCTGGTTTAATCTCAAGTTAAGAAAACAGGAATCCACACGCAAACCCCTTACTTCAATGACAATTATATTCTGTGGTCAAAGTACCCCTTCTCCACGTTACTCACCCTTTGAACAGAATTTTCCAGGGTTATGTTGGTGTGATACGTCCAATCCGCCAAGTTTTTGAACTGGAGCAATTCTCTGTACTTTTCTTGGTAGAAGTCCAGATAAGCCCGGATGCCGGCCAAGCTGACTTCATCATGGAGCTTCTTCGAGTTTTCCCGTTTCACCCTCACCAACGTTTCAAACTTCGGCACTGATTCCCGAAAATTTCCGAACACTTCTTGGAAGATCCAACACAAACAACGGAGGAGGAGTGTAACAGGCACTATAAAGAGTCTCATTGCTCTGGAAGTCGTTGAGGATGTTTACTGAGCGCAATTAGGAGTCCCCGGCGCCGGGTGGATGTGTTCTGAGTCGCCTCCATAAGTGATGCGTCAACTGCCTGCAGATGTGGCATGAGGGTGAAAACGTTGGCATCTGGCGTCGGTCTGTTACAGGGCCGCCCCGTTAGCTTCAAGTTCGAACACACGTTTCATGTTTAAGAAATAAGGCATTCACATCCCACCTTTTCACCCGAAACATAAGCCCACCAGATGGAGTGCGCATCATTTTTGAGAATTTCTTTTTCTTTTACTTTTCTACATATTTGGTGAGTATAATAATTTCAATACATTTGGTGGTTGACATTTAAAAAATTAGTGCTGTATTAGTTAACATTTATAATTAGGCTTGAAATAAACTAGCATATGTAAGTTTGAAATGAAACGACAATTGAATCGCAATTTCATGAGTAATTTCGAAATTTTGCTTTGCATTTCCTGGAATGCAATTCAATTTTCAATAGAGCATCAAAGGAAACTGTATAAACTAGCATATGTAAGTTTGAAATGAAACGACAATTGAATTGCAATTTCATGAGTAATTTCGAAATTTTGCTTTGCATTTCCTGGAATGCAATTCAATTTTCAATAGAGCATCAAAGGAAACTGAAGTGTGGGTCTCATACTCAGGTTGATTCTTTAGAAAACATTCCCCTAAAACTTTATGGTGTTCGTATTATTTGAGGGCAAGTTTAACTTCAGCACACAGTATATGGTACAGAGGTTTCTTACTTTTAAATTTTGCTTCGGAGTTTGTGAAATTGATTGGGTCTTGAATTCTGGCACTTAAAAAAGACAAGTTTTATTGATATAAAAAATGCCCCAATCCAAATAAATAAAATAATGTACAGTTTGGACCATTGTACATCCTCTTCTTGATGGATATAATTTTGAAGGCATGGTTGAAAACAAAGGATTGATTCTGAACAGTTACAATGTAGACATGGTAGTATATTATGGCTAATTTATAAAAGGTATGCTGTACTGTGCTTTAACTCAAGGTGACATGAAGTGCATGGGATAATGTTGGTTTCGAAATAAGCTAATGATTAAATATGGACAAATAACAGGTTTTTATTTCAGGATTTTCATTGCAGTGCACTGAGTCCATACTCTAATGTCCGACATTTTCCAAAGTGGCATTCTTTTGCAGAGAATCTGTTATGACATTGATATTTCACCAAAAAACCTTTCATTTGAATTCTATGCAAATGGCAAAAATGAGTGGTTCACTCCTAAAACAAACTTTTCATGTGAATTTCACCTTCATATGCACATACAGGATTTTTTTTTCCATCAAGATCCCTATACCTTTTGTGGATTACTGATCTACTTTGAAGCAAGCAGCATGTGCATTTAAAATTTTCCAAGTTAACTTCTTACTTTCTTCATGTTGCATTGAACAGCAGGGAATAATGGTGCTAGGACACACTTGAACTATACTAAAATACATATACTGTAATTCCTCATTGGACAGGACAAGTGTATTATAAACTAGCATATGTAAGTTTGAAATGAAACGACAATTGAATCACAATTTCATGAGTAATTTCGAAATTTTGCTTTGCATTTCCTGGAATGCAATTCAATTTTCAATAGAGCATCAAAGGAAACTGGAGTGTGGGTCTCATACTCAGGTTGATTCTTTAGAAAACATTCCCCTAAAACTTTATGGTGTTCGTATTATTTGAGGGCAAGTTTAACTTCTGCACACAGTATACGGTACAGAGGTTTCTTACTTTTAAATTTTGCTTCGGAGTTTGTGAAATTGATTGGGTCTTGAATTCTGGCACTTAAAAAAGACAAGTTTTTAGTGATTTAAAAAATGCCCCAATCCAAATAAATAAAATAATGTACAGTTTGAACCATTGTACATCCTCTTCTTGATGGATATAATTTTGAAGGCATGGTTGAAAACAAGGGATTGATTTTGAACAGTTACAATGTAGACATGGGAGTATATTATGGCTAATTTATAAAAGGTATGCTGTACTGTGCTTTAACTCAAGGTGACATGAAGTGCATGGGATAATGTTGGTTTCAAAATAAGCTAATGATTAAATATGGACAAATAACAGGTTTTTATTTCAGGATTTTCATTGCAGTGCACTGAGTTCATACTCTAATGTCCGACATTTTCCAAAGTGGCATTCTTTTGCAGAGAATCTGTTATGACATTGATATTTCACCAAAAAACCTTTCATTTGAATTCTATGCAAATGGCAAAAATGAGTGGTTTCACTCCTAAAACAAACTTTTCATGTGAATTTCACCTTCATATGCACATACAGGATTTATTTTTCCATGAAGATCCCTATACCTTTTGTGGATTACTGATCTACTTTGAAGCAAGCAGCATGTGCATTTAACATTTTCCAAGTTAACTTCTTACTTTCTTCATGTTGCATTGAACAGCAGGGATTAATGGTGCTAGGACACACCTGAACTATACTAAAATACATATACTGTAATTCCTCATTGGACAGGACAAGTGTATTATTTTCCAAGTTAACTTCTTACTTTCTTCATGTTGCATTGAACAGCAGGGAATAATGGTGCTAGGACACACTTGAACTATACTAAAATACATATACTGTAATTCCTCATTGGACAGGACAAGTGTATTTTTCAACACATGTTACAAATCTGAAAACCTCCCTGAGCGCTCAGGGAACATTGAATGAACATAATGTTTGGCATGTTTAATATATGCCCTTATGTAATCATTTTTCCTTTAAACACGAAGGTGTGTGTTTAAACACGCAGATTTAAATCGTACCTCTGTAAATCTAGCAAAACTTAAAACGAAGTTGAGTTCTCCACTGTAGGTGCAGGTAACGGGGAAGAATCACAGCCGACGAAGTAGACCCTTGAGCGGAACTGTTCCAGTGCTTCAGAAGCCCCTGCAGGAAGGACAGGGAATGAGAGCCTATGCTGGGTAGTTCATTATTCCCTTTTTCCTTGCTCTACAAGGGGGTGGTGGCAAGTTCCAAGTTCCAAATGGTCTTATAGCTTCCTTCAGAAAACCCATTGTCATCCACTTTCTGTGAACAAACCGAAAAAACTGTGCAGCTCTTTACTCTCACATTTTTCTGCCTACCCAGCTGACTAATAAATTATAACATATTTTTTTGAAGCTCAGTTTACACACTGTCCTAGAGTCATGAGCTGAAAACTGTAATAAAATAATGTGAGAATGCCGGAAAAGCAAGATTTCAGTGATTACACGCAGGCCTGATGGGAAACGGTTTTCAAATCATTAATTTTGAAAATCTGGTTATAAGAAGTTGTAAAAAACAACAAGCGTTTTCTGAAGACCCGAATAGCGTTTGATGTACTGTACGAAGATTTTACGGTAATGTCAAATTTTCCCTTTTTCTTGATGCAAAAGTCAGGTTGAGCTTTGCTTACCGTATTTTTCTCCGGACTGGGCAGTTCAACATGGCAGTTGAAGTTCATGCATAGTATTTTCCAAGGATGAGATTCACATCATAATACTGATGGAACTCACTTACACCACAACAGAGCCCCAGGGAAATGTTCATGAATTATCTAGTACTGTAACTGTGCTACTGGAACGCCTGAAGGAATGAGAAGTGGATTCTGATGAGAATGAACTCCTCTGTAATGTGTGTTTCTGGTCTTGCCTTGAGGGAATTTGTTTCCTTGTACAGCAAGAAAAAGATCTTCTCTTCACCTTCTGGGGCTCATCAGAAACCGCTGGAAGAATTTTCTTCTTTCTGGAGGCATTTTGTAATGTGTGTATGCAGGTGATGCTGGATGTATTCTCAGGTTTGTTTGAAAAAAGGAAAGCTGGAACATTTGCATCGCGGTTTGTGAGGATCACTGTCACTGAGATAATAATGGAAAAGGGAGCAGAAATGGAAGAAAACCATGATATGCAGTTCACAGCATGTTTCAGCAGAAAATTCCACCTCACATTTTCAGTTATCATTCTCATAATTTCATCCATTGATAATACTTGTACCTTACTGTAATGCCTTTTGCAATACCATAACAAGAATGATCAATATAATGCAATAAAATCTCAATGCAGAAAAACTTTTGGGGACTTTAGAAAAGTTTGTTGTAAGAAATAACTTGTTATTGTGGCAAGATTTTCAAAAATATTGACTGGAAGATTTTTCTATAGGGTAGACCATAATGCATTCAATATCTTCCTTCTGTGGCGTTTTCATGGGGTTTTCAGTACTGAAAATCTGTGATCTTCAAAAATAATTTAAAATATTAATAAAAACCAATGTTGTATGATGAGTAATAGGTGAACCCTAGCACTTATTTTGCCTTTCAGTTTTTCTGAGCAATTCCTGCAGATATTCAAGGGTGGATGCATCAAAAAAGCTTACAAACTTGAGGCATCAGGAGCGTTTCTCAAATACACAGAACACTTTACATCATGAGTTTTTTCCAGGTTTATTTCTTTTTTTAAACACCCCCCCCCCCACCATCTTCACAAACCCAATAACAATTTTAGAAGATAGAATGTTGCACTGAATTCAAAGAATTGTTAGTCTTGATTCCACCTCACGTCCAAAGAACCAATGAATCACCTTTTGAATGATAAATGTGAGACACTCCTTCATTGGGGATTTTTTATCAAGAAATCACATGTTCCTCAAACACTATTTATTATGCAATTGGAATTGCTCATTTGTTTGAACAAGATTTTTATAACATGTACCCAGAAGGATTTCTGCTGGGACTTGGAAAAAATTTTGTTATACTGAAAATTGTGTTGTAATAATATTTCTTGTTATGAGATTTTGCTGTAGTATGATTTTCAAAAATATTCATTTTTTGATGATAGTTCTCATTTTGTGTGTTTTGTATTTTGTTGATTTCATTGACTGGCTTTTTTAAATCTCTTAAAATGTGATGAAATTCTGTTCCAATTCTTCAACTGACGACTTCCCTGGTTGCGCGATGGTAAATTTTCCCAGGAAAGATGAATGCTGCGAGATATAAAACTGAGTCCTCCTCCTGTAAGGGAGTGGTATTTAGCAATCTTCCATCAAATTGAAAACGCATTTGGCAGTATATCATAGATCTTCCTTATCTGTTTGTATTTTTCGTAGCTTTCCTGTAATTCAACGATTCAAGTGAGCTTACAATTCCATTGCAGTGTGTTCAAAGGCCCGACGAAACAACATTCACGCGAAGGAAGGATTCTCGATCATGCACACAGCATACACAGTAAGAAGTTCCTCAATCTTTGGAGGCTCTATACCCATAGAGATGAAAATAATCCAGCTTTGGTGTTCTCTTTTCCTTCCGTCGTCAGTCAGGAAGGTGAGTGTTTCGGGTGTCCCTGGATGCGATGCGAAGGTGGTGGGGATTCAAGTCCTGAAGCAGTTCGAAGCGAAATAAGGATGGGTTACGCCATGGTCTGACAGAAGCGACACGCACATCCCACGGACTCATGGATTTCTGCTTCAAGGTACCCGTCGGTGCCGATGATCCATTCGCCTTCGGGGTTGAAGCATGGGTTCAAGGTAACTCTTCTGTCCCGAAGCTGCTCTTCTTTGCAACACAGGTACATCTGCAAAAATTCAATCAGGATTTGAATTGAATGTTCCTTCGGATATTTGCATCAGAATGCCACATCAGGAAGCGGAGGCTGAACATATCATCATGGAACCTGATGGTATTGCCTGCTTCAGGAGTTTCGGTATCACAGTTAGACCCTGAAATGCGGACACCCCGACATATGGACGTTTCAACTTAGGGACACTTTAACCCAAAAAATCTGGCCTGACATGTGGACATTGTCTCAAAATAGGGACACTTTTCTGGCACTTTCCTTAAAAATCAAAATGTTTAATTTTTCCTTTTGATGTCTCTGTAAATTGAGCAATTTATTTTTACAAAAATTCGAATATATTCCAAGATAAATTTACTCTCATTCATCATTAAAACCCATCTGATTTTGTTCTTCCTGCATCAGTTTAGTTGTTTTCTATCATTGTGCACATCATAGCAAGACTTATTCTTGCTCTTTTCTCGGTCGGGTCATCTTTATGCCAAAATATCAGACTTCGTGAGGTTTCCTTCAGCACTCTAATTTTCTATAACTTGGAGTTGTACAAAACAATTTTTATTTATATTTCTGGAAGACTTACTCCTAACTTTTGATCAACTGGAGAACCTATTGATGACATTTGCATGGAAGCCCTTGAGAAAATTAGGTTCAAAATGCAGACAATCCCACATATGGAAAAGGTCCAAGCACCAATTACATCCGAATCTTGGGGTTCCACTCTACATCAGTTGAACATCATGGAAAACTGGAACCTCCTGCCAATGAGAGGGTATATTCAGTAAGGCCCCTTTTCCCAAATAAGTTGAGGGATCATGTATTGGTCTAATAAAAGTGTGCGGCCACATTTTTATATAATATAGAGGATGAGAAGGTATTCCACACGATTCACGGATTCCCCACACATTTTTTAGACCACTTTTCAATGGGGCACCCGCAAAGATCGGCTGGCACGCCGCGCCGGTCTTTCCTTGGATGGACATTCCCCCAAACAAAACCTTTGTAGTAAAATAACGCAGTATTTTATTTTCCTCTGTTTATTCACTGTGATTGAATTGTTCTTTAAAATTCTAGACTTTGGGGGTGGTTAGGTCAGGTCATGTTAGTTAAAATATTTTTAAACTAACCTAACCTAACCTATTTACTTAACAGCAAATAAACAGAGGAAAATAAAGTACATGGAGGATTTGTTTGGGGGAATGTCCATCCAAGGAAAAACTGGCGCAGCTTGCCAGTGGATTCTGAGCCAGCGGATCTTTGCGCGTGCCCATTCTAGGGCATTTTTGGAGGAAGGGGCCTTAGTGAATACCGTCTCATCGTCTACACTAAATAAAAATTTGACCCCACACTTTTATTAGACCACTATCCCAACACATTTTTGGAACAATAAGGTCATTTCCGCCATTTTTAATCGCATAAAAGCCTATTTTCATATTTTTAAGGCATTTTTTAAAACTCTTTCAAATGAGAAAAAATCCATTTTGAATGTTTATCACTGAAAACAGATTTCATCACTAAATCTTGCCTGTCATTGCGTTGTGATAGCTCAATCACATGTTCTGTGTCAGGTCCCTCTCATTCCTAATGCCAAGAAAAAAAATCCTGAACCTTGAATTGAACTCAGACCACGCAGGCAAGTGCAATAAATATGATAGACTTTAAATTAGTACTTAAATGTATTCACAGGATCCAGACTCCAGAGATGGGAGGCAAGGTTTGATTTACCAAATCTGTCTCACTTCACTTCGTTTCCAGACACATCAAGTTATTCTTTCCTCATAGGGAATTCCGACAGGGACTTGAAGAAAAAGTTCTACAGTGAAGTTGAGTTGTGGATGTTCAAATGTAATACGAATAGGTTTGTGGAAGAAAGAGAACCTCAATATAATGTACACTCACCTTCTTATACAAGGATGGATATCACAAACTCGGCTGCGACTGTGAGTAACACGCTCCCTGGCATTTACTGATGGGCAATTCCCTTTCGCACCGCCTGATGACTTGTCCATTGTCCTCAACCACCTCTGACACATTTTCAAGAATGTGAAGAGGCAAAAAAAACATGGATATTGTTTCAACCAAACACGGTTCTTCATGTTCCGAACTGCGAATTTCATCACTTGTCCCAAAGAACCCCAGAATAATCCTAACTTAGGTAATCTTCCCTCTTGAGGAATTTATTCATGAACCAAGCGGTTCGCCGTTTCATGTGTTTGCATTCACAGAATGCAGAACATGGATGCAGGGTTCATTTGCCTGATTGAGTTTTTCTCTCCCTTTAAAAAAACATCAAATGCATTTTCATTGCTTTTCACTTCCCTCTGCCAAGGAAAGTATAGCCTGTGAAAATCCCATTTACCCAGGTTGGAGGAAGGGGCCTTAGTGAATACCGTCTCATCGTCTACACTAAATAAAAATTTGACCCCACACTTTTATTAGACCACTATCCCAACACATTTTTGGAACAATAAGGTCATTTCCGCCATTTTTATTCGCATAAAAGCCTATTTTCATATTTTTAAGGCATTTTTTAAACTTCTTTCAAATTAGAAAAAATCCATTTTGAATGTTTATCACTGAAGACAGATTTCATCACTAAATCTTGCCTGTCATTGCATTGTGATAGCTCAATCACATGTTCTGTGTCAGGTCCCTCTCCTTCCTAATGCTAAGAAAAAAAAAAAGCCTGAACCTTGAATTGAACTCAGACCAAGCAGGCAAGTGCAATGAATATGATAGACTTTAAATTAGTACTTGAATGTATTCACAGGATCCAGAGATTGGAGGCAAGGTTTGATTTACCAAATCTGTCCCAGTTCACTTCGTTTCCAGACACATCCAGTTATTCTTTCCTGATAGGCAATTCCGACAGGGACTTGAAGAAAAAGTTCTATAGAGAAGTTGAGTTGTGGATGTTCAAATGTAATACGAATAGGTTTGTGGAAGAAAGCGAACCTCAATATAATGTACACTCACCTTCTTATACAA